TTCAATAGTCAGCTTTCGATCTATTGGTATAAATAGTTAAAGATCTCATAAATTTCTCTTTGAATTTTCAATTGGGGTTACTTCTAATTATCGACTCAAAAAAAACAAAAATTGCAAACAAATGAGCTTACATCCACATAAAATAAATTTCACAAGAAAATTTCATGACTTTGCCGCAAAAGCATAGGCTTTTCCTAGAAGGACAGCTCATATTTATTCCAACTTAAAAGAATATGTCCAGTAGGTTAATCAGTAGTAATCCAAAACTTTTACGATGTTTCCAACTTTAATTGGATACATCAACGATTTTTTCTTGTTCCGTTAGGACTTAACACACCAAATTCCATAGTAATAATACCCACTTATTGTCCTTCATGGGATAGTTGAGTTGATGGAATAGGTGAGTGAGGAGACCTTTGGTCACGAGTTTGATTTTCCCTGCCAACATTTTTTTCGTTCGAGCTTATTACATAGGACTTGCCTAATGTGATTTACCTGGCTGGCGTGGTTTGCAGGCTATTACGTCCTTGACAGTTTACCCAGTGCGCACCCGAAAGGTAGCAGCTGCAAATTCCTCAAAAAAAAAAAAAAAAAAAAAAAAAACCTACTTATTCACCTTAAAGAGAGGGAAACATTAAGCCTTTGTTTGAGCCGTATTTTCCATTCCACTAAAATAAAAAAACGTGATCGTTGCAGCCTCAGTCAAGCCCCACATGTGAAAGAAGAGGTCGATAATTGCGGCTGGAAATGATTGATAACGGTACAATATTTCATTTTTTTGGCCAAATAATTTGGCTCAAACAGAGGCTAATTCTAAACAAGTCTTTTCCAAAAAAACTTTTTCCTTGATTTGGTTAAAAAACTTGATAAAAACCTAAGCCCTTGTTTGATCTCAGTTATTTTCAAAATATATTTTTCTCTCACTTCTTTTGAATTACGCATTTTTTAATAAAATAATATTATATGCAAATACAAAATATTTTCTTATTTTTTAACAATATATTATTTCAAAATGCTTTCTTAATCTTTAAATGGGGCTCAAATAGGCTTTAAGTCAAATGTGACAATTAATTTTATCATACATTTTATGGAATCTTCAGCTTTAGTAATTTTTTAACCATATATTTAATTAAATTTTTTTCAAGATTTATTAAAAATATGATTTTAACAAAATTAAACATTGACGGATTAATTTTTCAGTTTATGCCTAGTAGCTAGTCGCCAAAATAAATGCATGTCACGCTCAAAAGGAACAACATAATTAGAGAGACGAAAATATTGTAATAATATGACGAGTACGATAACAAAGTACTATAGCAACATTCTTGAGTGGTTATAACTTTTAATATTCTTTCCTTGTAGGCATCGATTTTCTGGCATATTACAGTATTGGGACAACTAGTAGGGCAATGTTTGGATTACACAATTTGTTGAGAAAAATGTTTCTCCCCTATCCAATGAAATCACGATTGGGGTATGATAGAAAATCTCTCTCAGAATACAATGGAGGCGTTTGATTCAAATTGTGACTATTTGATCAAACCAAGAATACACTCGAAAAAGAATACACTCGAAAAAGAGAGAATAATATTTTTTAATGTGTTTTGCAAAGAGAATTCGCCCAAAATTTATAGAAATTGAGGCAACCATTTGAATAAGTGTGTCCCTTGAAATGAAGAACACATCTATTGAAAATAATTGTCAAAACGAACAGATACACCTATTCAAAAACTTTTGAAAATAAAATTCTCTTTTGGGGGTGTTGCCCCCGAGCCCCCACGACCCCCGCGATCCGACCAGACAGGTCGATCCCCATTGTGCAGCGACAAACATTAGTCGGAACGACAAATCATTCGCAAAACAGAAAAAAAAAATACATGCAAAATGATAAAAATATCTAACACAATTCACATGATTCAAAGCAAAAAATCATAACTGATTATTAAATAAAATTGATTATAATATAATCAAGTAATTATTTCCTTGGGATTATTATTTTCAATATTATCGACTATTTCTTTTGATAACTGATGATTAAATGTAAATAAAATATAATTAATTATTCTTCTCTTCAACCTATTTTTTAAACTACCATAAATTGTAAACGATTATAAGTTGTAATGATTAATTCTTTTAACATAATTAAAATCAAATAAGCTGCCCAAGTTTATAATAAGAATAAAAGATTACCAAAATCAGATGGAGAATTCAAGAATTTGGCCCAGAAACAACAATAAATAGTCATGCAGTCGACCGTGTCCCTAAAATGTGGCCAAAGAACTGAACCCATGAATACATGATCCTCTACAAAACTCTCCCTCTCGCACAAAGAAAAAACACACAGACACATAGTAATTTTATCATGGCTTCACCATACTGTACTTTTCTGCTCGTTCTGCTGATGATATCTACTTCTGTTACAACGATATATGCCGGTGGCGATGGCGTCGGAGGCGACAGAGGTGGGACCAAGAGGATGCTGGTTAGTAGAGGGTGTAATGAAATATATGTAGTGAGAGAAGGAGAAACTCTACATACAATTAGTGACAAATGCAACGACTTGTTTATCTTGGAGAATAATCCTCAAATCCAAGAACATGATGATGTTTTTCCCGGTCTTGTACTCAAGATATCTCCAACGAAATCTAGGAAGTTACTTTAGTAGTGAGTTCAACATTTTTTTTTTTTTTTTCACAAGTTGTTTTTGGCCCCTTAGTTCTTTTGTGTGTGTGTGAATTTTACTTGTAATCTGAAATTGTCATGGTAAATCGAAAGATGTCTCTTTTTCTAGGCAATAAATGGAATCCAATCGAGAATGTTTCTACTTTCTACCCCAATATAATCAAGTAAATACCAATATGATTTAGTCTTGTGTTATTTTTAAGTAAATTTGTTGTGGTCCTAATCATAGTGATGTAGGGAGATTCTGTCATGTTACCCAAAAACAATGATGGATAGAGAAAGTGCAATTTACCGTATATCAATTAGATTCAGGCTCGAGAATTCACCTAAAGTCCACTACATATGAGCCTCACTTTAAAGGACGTCTACGAGTGCGCCATTGGGCCATTTTCGAATAAGGACAACATGTCCACTAGCATTTCATGCACGCTCCTACATTATACACGCATTCAATAGAAATGCTAAACCATCGGCTTGAACATGAGACTTCCAACTTTGAAATTAACTGATGTAGGGAGAAGAAACACTTTGCATTAAAACTATATATAGATGACGGTTGTTGAGCAATCCACCATATATTACCAAGAATCCACCCCAAGCTCCCTCCATTTAGGTATCACTTGATAAACACCTTACGAAGGTGTCATTGAGCCATTCCCGAATAGAGATCATAAGCCCACGTCCATGACGACCATGTTGCTGCATTACATAGTCGTTGATCAAGTATTTTTTTGCACCTATGTAGATTTTTTGATAAAAGTTCTTAATTATTTTAAGAATGCAATTTAGTACATTATAGCTGTGTAATCTTAGGCATACAAAAATAATGTGAGGGTGTTGGCATAAGGCACAGACAATATAATTAAAATTCAACTTGCTTTGTTATCATATAACTCGTGTGGTGTCTTGTGTTAGGAATTTCCGCCTCCTGATATAAACTACTGTGGCACAAGTCACTTCTCCTATTGTGATTTGTACAACAAAATGATGAATAATATGTAATCAACGAAGGAAAAAAATAAGCAGAGATTTATGTGGTTCAATAATTAGCCTACATCAACGGGAGCAAAGTGGCTACAATTTTATTGCGAATAATTAGGTTATATCATATATATAAACAAACCCTAACTCATACAAGACTTTTATGGAAAAATCAAAAATGCTAAAGTAACGTACTTATTCCATAAAACATGTGATCCAGCCACTTATTACAACATCACCTTTCTCAACTAGACAGAGGAGATATGAATTCCATACAAGCGGAACTTAAAGGATTTTTCGCGCATTTAATCTATTTTGTAGCAGACCGAACGGGAGATTGATCAAGCGATTATAATAAAAAATGATTTAATGATGCAGTTTATTGTTCCGTAACTTACACAAATTAAAGCAGGCAAGACATTAAATATTTTTAACTTACTATATCATTTTTCTTACATAAAGATTCGAACCGAGCTGGCTTGTACAGGCCACGCACACGTGCAAGGGGATCGATGAATTTTTTCTTTTAAAAAAAAATTACCCACCCCCTGCTCACTCACCCTATGTGCCAAAATTATTGTAAATATTCAATGAATGGCTACAACCTATATAGCTAATGCATAGTTGCACGTGACTGGTCTTTATAAGCTTATAACCCAATGCCAATGAAATCGTGACACTTCCAACACGATTTTTCATAATTAAATGTAGAAGGTGGAGTCTAAGTCATATTCTATTTCACCGAGATAAAGTTTAGAAATGCATGTTTTTAATAGTGTCTAATGCTGCTCCAATTCTTCATGTTACATACATGTGCACAAAGTAACTTTTTCGTTTGAAATTAGAATTATGGGCGAGTTGAGATTAGGAAAGATCATAAGGCACATTGACAATGACTTCCTCCTATAAAATTATTTACAAGTTCAGACTTTTACCCACCTTTGCTTTGGTTAATATAATATAAAATGTAGTCTGTGCTTATAGATTGAGAGCCCGTTTGAAATTGATTTTGAGAATTAATTTTTTTATTGTTAGGAGAAAAGTGAGGTCCATATGTGAGAGAAGAAGTCAAATATGACAGTTGAAATAGTGAAATAACGGTCAAAAAATTAATTTTTTGGAAGGAAAAATCACTCCCAAACAGGCCCTAAGTTTGTGTATGTAGTCACACGCTTTTGAGATTGCTCAGACAAGGACGCATTCAGGCCACTAAAGTAGTGAATACGACACTTAGAACATTAGGAACGGATCAAGTTGAGGATAATTAGGAAGATGTCTTTTTGCTGCAATTTGGTACCTATGTAGTTGATTATACGTGTCATGGTCTCATAGAAGGACATTCATATCACTTGGCTGGATGGAAGCATTTCTCACTCATTATATATATAGCCCTTGCTCCCTCACATGCTCACACACTCACAGACAACACTGTGTTCACTGTTAGGTGAAGTAGCCGTGCAGTTGAGGCTCCGATTCTGAGGCAAACAGCAGTTTTCTTGCTTCAAGATTCAAAGGCCCACAATCAAAATTAGAGTGTTCTCATACTGTAAGTCTGCTTAATTTTCTATATATACATTAACTTTGGGAATGTGTTTATGGTGGCTGTCCGCCTGTCCCCTTTTATTTGGGCTTAAATTTCTTGTTTGGATAAAATGATGGAAAACAAAAATGAATAAACTAAAGAAAATATCCATTAGTATATAATGTTTCAGTCAAATCACCAAGTTATTACCTCAAAAAAAAAAAAAACAAAAAAAACAAAAAATGCACACTCACTAAAAAAATTTAAATATTTATTACAACAAAAAAAATGAAAATCAGAAACTATATATATATATATATATATATATATATATATATATATATGAAAATGGAACAATTTCTTTTTGTTTTTTGGTTTCTACTAACATACAAAATATACGACTAACACTTTCACATACACAATAAATAAATAAATAAATAAAATTCACTAACCCAAACCAAGAAAAAATTTTACTGCGTAAACATAAATTGAACCGAAAAAAATTTGTTTCTGCTTTTATATATATATTTTTAAGTTTTTGTAATGATTACCATATTGTGGGTGCGCGTTTCTTTCCTATCCTTTCCCTTTTTTTTTTTTGTCCTGATTCTCATTTTCCTTTTTTTCTTTTTTCTTTTTTGGTGGTAGTAATTATGTGTGAATTTTTAGTTTGTGCGGGTCCTTTCTTTTCTTTTCTCATTTTCCTTTTTTCTTTTTCTTTTTCTTTTTTGGTGGAAGTAATTATGTGTGAATTTTTTAGTGTGTGCGAGTCTTTTCAACTTTTTTCTTTTTTTTTTTTTCTGATTCTCAATTTCCTTTTCTTTTTTTGTGGTAGTAATTATGTGTGAATTTTTTAGTGTGTGCAAGTCTTTTCTTTCCTTTTTCTGATTCTCATTTTCCTTTTCTTTTTTTTTTTTAGAAGTAATTATGTGTGTGTATTTTTTGGGGTGATAATCGAGTGGTTTGATTGAAACGTTATATGAAGTTGGATTATTATGGTAAATCAAAATCAATTTGAGTAACTATGATAACACTAAATACAATTGTCATGATTAAAAAAAGAAAAAAGAAAAAAGAAGGTAAGTTACAATGGTCATGGAAGAATTAACCCCACATTCACGGCTTACTTCTTGTCAACCATACCCGGTACTGAATCCTAAAAGGCACGGGCGAAGAGAGGGGCCCAGTAATTAATTAAGGCATTTTTATTTATTATTGTTATTTATTTATTTATTTTTTGTGTGTGCGGGGTAACACATTTTAATTGTATTTAAGATTTTTAATCTTTGCTCATTATAGCACTTATATCTCTAACAGTTTTCTTTCATTTCTATCCTCAAACTTTCTATTAATTAATATGTTTTGTATTTGATAACAATTTTATATCCAAAAATTCGTTGAAATGACGTAAAACGACTTATTTTCTCATCATATTTTTCAAAATAAATAAATAAAAGTAAGAAAAAAAATAATTTTCTCATTCCAAAGTTAAAAATAAAATATTTCGATATAAGTCATTATCGAGGACGAGACATACTCGCTAACAGAAAAGATAAGAAATAAGGATTCGATGAAAAAGTTGAGGAAATAATTGCTAAAATGAGCAAAGATGGAAAGTTCAACTACAATTTAATTATGAAATAAAAATAAAAATCGTGGTATCAATATAATCAATAATTTTTTCACGAATTGAATTTTCTTTTTTATTTTGTCCTCCAACGTCGCCCCTAGCAAGTGCCAAGAGGGTTGGCGATTAAACCGCAATATATTTTGAAACTTTTTGAAATTCTCGTAAACACTTTGATTTTTTATTTATTTTTTAATAAATACATGTACAATTTGTCCCCTCAATAGGATCTTGGCTCTTCCCCTACGTCGAGAGCCAACACAAGTTTTTCAGAAGTGGGTGCTTTAAGCTGTTCAAACATCTAATCAAAATCTAATCGGCCAACACAAGTTTTTCAGAAGTGGGTGCTTTAAGCTGTTCAAACATCTAATCAAAATCTAATCGGCAAAAAGCATATCTTCATCCAAACTGCTTCTAATTGCACGTGGAAATTATTAAAGTATATACACAGTAGAACCCACATAGTCGGTGAATTATGGAATGGAGGTCATAGTCAATAAATATTCTTTATGTAGAATGTCCACTTCAAGTAAATTATTTTTCCCCAGAAAAGAAAGAGGTAGTGGGAGAAAGATAGCACCACCATAAAAATTTCCTATGGATCACATGCAAAATATGATAAGAAATAAAATATGTGGTTGGCAACTTTTGGAAACCAATATATTTTTTTTTATTCTGATTTTCTGATATTAGGGAATTAATTCCTTTTTTTTCTAACAATATTTTAATTACATGGGATGCATATATGTGAATATTCTGTAGGGGTTTGTGCAAATGGAAAAACTCTTAACCACACGCCTGACGAGAACAAAAAACTTTTCCTAAGAATTTTAGAATCAACCTTCTTTAGTATTCCTTTTTATTAATTTTGAGATATATAAAACAATTCAATCCGTAACAACTTATACAAGGCAAATTAATTCTATCTTAATTTTATCGCTACATATTCTTTATTAACTTAGCCCTTGTTTCAGTACTACTCTTTGAAAAAAATACATTCTTAAATAAAATAATATTACGCGTAAATTTAAAATTTTTTCTTATTTTTTAACTGCACATTTCGCATTAATACTCTGTTCAAAAATGCATTTATACTCTGTTCAAACAAGGCCCGGTTAATCTAATTACAGAAATTAGAAAACAACTGTAGACAACTCCGAAGAAGAAAAGGAAACTTGAAAACTGAAGTTTTATTATTTATAAATGATATATAAATTATAAAAAGAATGCCAAATTATAAATAGATAGAATAATTGGTGGATAAATTATAGTATTTGCAAATTCTACAAAACATGTCACCAGACATGCGTCGATCTCAAAACAAATACGATGTTAGGAGTGAGATTCAGTAGTACCTTCATGTGCAATACTTATAGTCATCAGAACGCACACTCAAACGCAATTTAGCGTTAAGTTTTCGATTTTGGAGGTTGATTTTCTGTTTCTGTGTCTCGTATAATTTCCATTGTGTGAATTCAGACTTTCTGGAAACAGAAGATGGAGTAAAATCTTGTGTAGAATTCCGCATTTTTATTGCATGGAAGTGAATAAAGGGCATGAGATGAAAGATTGATATACATATTTTTTATGCTATTTATTTCATGAAATCTTAGTCATTTTTATGTCATATCATATACCCAATGTTGGAAATTTCTGATTATATTCTGATGCAATTTAGAAATTTATTTAATTTTGAAATAATTCTTTTCTATTTTTTTCTTGATTCTAATGGATAGTTAAGGAATCATGGGACACGCAAAGAGTTTACATATATTAGGAATCTCTTCTATGGATTTTAATATTAAACTAGACAGCAGATTTCTTATGTTACATTTCTTGTTAGCAGGCTATTATTTTTTGCTGAAGCATGGTTGCCTTTGGGAAAAAATTGAAAGAACTACAAATTCAAGAGTGGCAAGGGTATGAATCATATGTGAATTCTTCTATCAGCTATTTTGTACAAATTTGTAGGGATATGGATTTGTGATTCCTAGGTAGTTTTGAAAATTCGTTTGAGATAAATTGACAAGAAGCAAAGGGAATCAATAGATTATCTATATCCTTGTCTGCAAATTGTTGATGTCTTGCAACGAAAAGTACCCGGGAATTGCCATTGCCGTGCCATGAGAAAAGAGTCGTCATTGAACTTCATGAAACATGGTTTTCTTGAACATACTTAGGATACTGTTTTCTTAGTATATTATGCATAGTAACATACTTGGGATATGGTTTTCTCCCAGCTACTATATTAACTACAAGTTAATGAAGAAGAAAGTGAAGCAATATGTTCGGCAAATTGAAGTTTCACCTCAAGATCGTGATTTTGTTCTGATGGATTTCTCAAGAATTCTGGATAAGCAGGTATTAAGATGCATTTAATTCATCAGTGTCTGACTTTTATTTGTCTCAGCATGAAGTGAAGAACTGAAACTCCACACAAGCAGATTAGCCCTCCTCTGAATTTCAGCAATGCTTGATTTCACACGGTTACAATGGTCACCCAATAAAATCCAAAAGAATAGAAAGAAAAAATAATCTCGTCGATTTGTATGCAATAAAGTTATGTGCTAATATTTTCCTTTTTCATGGTGAAAATAAATGAAAATTATATGCTAATATATGATGGTTGCTAAGTATTTCATGAAAAAAATTACAAGGACTTGGGTGACATGATGTAATCAAACTAGTTAGATATTGTGTGACGATTGATTTTAGTTATCTGACAAACAAAAACCTAAATTCTTCATTGTGCATTATGAAAACATGGTGAGATTTTATTTTTTGCTTTACTTTCCACTGTTAATCGAAGTTTAGTTCCAGAGGGTTATCGTTTAGTTTCACATTGAGATTTCTCTGTTTTGTATTGCTGAGTTGTTCTATGCTTTATTCCATAATTTCAGATTGAAAAGATTGTCCTATTTCTATTAGAACAACAAGGGCGACTTGCAAGCAGGCTGGCCTATCTTGGGGAACAACATAATGGTCTTATTCAGCAATCAGATGTTATGAAGATACCTGAATTGCAGGAATCATATAGAAATGTGGGGCAGGATATGTTAAGGCTTCTCTTTTTTGTAGAGTTAAATGCCATTGGACTACGTAAAATATTGAAGAAGTTTGACAAGAGATTTGGTTATAAGTTCACTAACTACTATGTCAAGACGCGAGCAAATCATCCTTATTCCCAGCTGAGACAAGTGTTTAAACATGTGGTATGGCAAAGAATAGTGTAATTTTTCTACAAAGTGTTGAATAAGCTAGTTCCTACTACTTGAATTTGCTTTTCATTTTTCTTATAGACGCTACTTTGAGAAGTTCTAAAATAGTATAATAACTATATCTAGTGTAGCTGATAACTTTATGAATAACTTGCAGGGAATTTCAGCTGTTGTTGGAACTTTATCTCGCAACCTCGCTGATCTCCACGATCATCAAGAGACCTTCATTTCAATTTATGATCAGCCTGCAGTGCCTCTCCAAGTTCGTGCTCATGTCCATTAATCAATCAGACCTATTGCAAACGCTTGATCTCTTCGTATATTTCCTATTTAGTTCCTAGTTTTAGATAGCTTAAGATGTCATGTGAATTCTGCATGCAACTTGCTTGACAAACTGAAACGAGAACTTGTAGGGTATCAGACGTCTTATGAAGCATGAGCACAGGAAGGAGCTTTAAGAACTTCAGATGAACATGCATATGCTAAGCTGTATTTATCAAGAGGAGCAGCTAAATACTTTAAATTCCGTGCAGACTAAGTCTTTATTTTTATTTAAGTTGAAAGTACCTGTTACTCTGTTCAAAATCATTCAGGTAAATCTGTAAGTGTAAGTATCTTCAAATTGTTTGGAGGAGGTAATTATACTCCTGAAACAACTGAAAGGGCTATGTAAAGATCCCATGCTATCATCAAATTTACCTAGTTTCAGTTAAAAGATATGATACAATGTTAAAAGGATCAAATTCAACATATGGTTACCAGGAAACAAGGAATAACATTTGAAGCATTGGATAAACTTTTTTCCGTCTGAATCTGCAGTTTGATGGTTCCTTTAAACTTTTATCTATTGCTAAAGAAGTGGTAAAACAAAATGAAACCAGGATTACCATTTGGCCAAGCTTTATCTCAGGTTAAGCACTATTTCTATCCAATTATGTGCACTTGAAGTTTTTCAACAATTTATTTCAGGGTTATCAGGTCTAAACTGTAAGGGCTGAGCAAGTAAAAATTTAGACATCATGATATTAGATATATAGTTTTGGAGTTGAATTCTGTGCTCAAAAATTTGGATCTTGGTACTTAAGAGCATGTATGATGTCTGTATTATCGAATATTGCAGGATCTGTTACTCACACTGACATTTTTAACTGTAAGTAACCTTGATATGAGGTAGAAATTTTCTTTATACTCCTTGCAGGATCCTATCATCGAGTCTGTCAAAGCTGCAGTTGATCGGTTAACAAATTCAACAGACTTCCTCCAGTATTTGGGAAAACATGCACTTATTCTGCATGAGGAATTACCAACTCCTTCAGAAGAGCATGCAGTTGATGACAGATATCATTTTATGTCTCTTCTTCTGAACTTGGCAAATACATTTTTATACATGGTGAATTCATATATAATTGTACCAACAGCAGACAGCTATTCATTAAGTCTTGGAGCTGCAGCAACTGTTTGTGGGGTTGTAATTGGGTCGATGGCCATTGCTCAGGTGTTCTCTTCAGTTTATTTTAGTGCATGGTCAAATAAATCATACATGAAACCTCTTGTATTCAGCAGTGTTGTTCTTCTTGTTGGAAACACCTTATACGCTTTGGCTTATGATCTCAACTCGATATATGTGCTTCTAATTGGTCGTCTATTTTGTGGGTAAGCCATAGTCTCTCTCTCTCTTTTCATCTATTATGTGCATCACTTTATGCTTTTGCTTGCAAGTAGGCATACCTACATCAAATCTCATAGAAACTTTATTTAATATTCAAACTTTGGGTTGTATAAGTGATTTGGATATACTTTTCTATGTTCAAATTATTCCAGATTGGGCTCTGCTAGGGCTGTTAATCGACGTTACATTAGTGATTGTGTTCCTCTTAAGATGCGAATGAAGGCTTCTGCTGGTTTTGTTACTGCTAGTGCACTTGGAATGGCCTGTGGTCCTGCTCTTTCCTGCTTGCTTCAATCTAATTTTAAGATCTTCATGATTACATTCAATGAAGATACTTTACCCGGATGGGTTATGGCTCTGGCATGGCTTATCTATCTGCTGTGGTTGTGGATATCATTTAAAGAGCCTTCGCACGACAAGGAAGTGAATATTGGGCAACAGAAAACAAATTCGGGTATGTCAGTTGGACTCTAAAATGGACTACAATTGAAATAGATATGCCAGCTTTACTTGCATGATTCTTGGAAACTTATAATTAGTTTCAATGTGTACATAAATAATTATTTCAATTTTGTGTTACAGGAGCGAATGTGGGGATTGTGCAGAATGATGTGATCCAACCACTGCTTTCATCCGTGAAAGAAAAGCAGGAAGAAGAAGATGATGATGAAAATGAAGATGAAGAAATTGATATTAGCAGAGAAAATTCCACGGAAATCCAGGAACCAGTCACTTCAATTGTGACTGCGTATAAGTTGCTTACACCCTCTGTAAAGGTCTGGATTTAAATCTTCAGCACTCATTGCAAAACATATGCATGTTATGGAATGCCTCGTATCATCAGAACAAAGTATCATATTATTCACATTCGAAGATTGTACCTTTCTTAACCATGATGATGGCAGGTTGAGAACTTAATCGTCTATGTGAAATACAATTCAAGATCTGGTTTTCAAAAAATGTATGTGAGGTCTAGGAATCTAACTGTGAAGATTGAATGGACTAGTGAATTTGTGGTTTCAATATTGATAAAAGAGTGGTTACTTAATAACAACTACTAAAATAATTAGGTAGGGTGAGAGAGTGATCTCAAATCACTCTGAAACGAAACTCAACCATGAAATTATTTGACAGTTTACCAATTCTTCTTGTTTATGGGGACTACATTGAACCTTAAAGATACTGATTATTCGTATGATTTCTCTTTCTAATTTTATTTCAACAGGGCATGAAAATAAGGAAACTTTTCTCATGCGTTACGTGTAATTGTTTCATCTATGGATTGGCATTCTGTTTAACTTCAATAATACGACCAGGTACAACTACTTATATACTTTATGCTCAAATATGCTATGGAAGTTTTACTTGCCGAATCAAGTGTTGTCACGGCCCATTACTTCATATGGTCAACCAGCAATGTGGCCATTTTTCTGGCATTTCTTGGCCTGACAGTGCTTCCAGTGAACATTCTTGTAGGAAGCTACCTCAGCAACATGTTTGAGGAGAGGTAACCTTAAATAAAATATTAATTGTTACAGCTCTTATTATTTTGGTTAATGATCTTTGAAGCCCACATTCTTGTCCCACTTCTCCCCTCCGGTCAAGACTCTCGATCCCTATCACAAACATCTTAGGGGCCAAGCACACATTCAAACATACAATAAGCTAGGAATTATGACAGTACATCACTGCAAACTAATTGAAAATGTCAAGAAATCCTTCCCCTAATGAACCTCTTTCATGTAGCCAATATTCTTCTTTTACATGTTATCACTGCGCGGTTTCATCAATGGGATCTCAGAGATCAAACAGAAAGGAAAGAAAAGAAAGGCTACTAATTCAAAGAGAATTGGGATTTTTGATTGATCTACTTTTTGCTCCCATTATTAGTGATAAAAATTTCAATCCATTGTGTTTGTAATGGCCAAAATTTTGTACAAAATATTTCATCACCAATGTAGCTTCTCCTGCAAGTAGAACCTTTTCCTAGAAAGCTCAAAAAGATCCCTAGTCGACGTGCTCAAGAGTGAAGACCACCTGGTATATTTCCATTTCTGTAAATACATTGTGCCTCTCTTGATGAAGTTACTAAGAGAATCCAAATGAAAAAAACAGAAAAAAGAAAGGTTTGTCCCAAATATAAGCTAAGTACCTCAAATAACCCAACCTTTTTGATCTGTTTTCCGTACCTTTATGCAGGCAAGTTTTACTGGCATCGGAAGTTATGGTATGTATGGGAATAGCTCTGAGCTTCCAGCTGATAATCCCTTATTCTGTCCCACAATATGTCTGTTCGGCTTTAATTACATTCGTATCTGCTGAAGTTCTTGAAGGTAATTTCTGGTTGCTTTCCTTCAGTAAATACAAATCTGAACTTAGTTAAAACCTCATATAACGTATCCTTAGGCGTAAACCTGTCTCTTCTATCCCGAGTAATGTCATCACGGCTTTCAAAGGGGACATATAATGGTGGATTGCTTTCAACAGAAGCCGGGACTCTGGCTCGAGTAATTGCAGATGCTACAATAACCATAGCTGGATACTGGGGTATGAGCAGGCTCTTAAATGTCACCCTGCTTCCTTCACTATTAATCTGTATCTGTTCTATTATAGCTACCTGTTTTACTTACAATTCTATGTACTGAATTATCGTAAACCAATGTATATAGAATGATCTCTCATCATCTAACACTGCATCAAATTTTCTACTTAAAAGCTAATTATATTATCATATTCTAACTTTTGGCTTTTTTTCCTGAGATTTTATCTGAATATATTAACGAGATTAGCAGGGTAGACTTGATTTTACTTTTAAATCAGCACGTGTGCGCGCTAAACTGCCAGCTTGATAGCTGTATTATTGGGCAGATTTCACTGCTGAAGTACGCTGGTGAGAAGGATTAAAGCACTAGTTTGAACTTGTAAATGGGCTAAGGAGCCGTGGAATTTTATTTAATAGGGAAAGATTAGTAACTAACATTGTCTAAGTTTACATTTCCACAATATTAAATTTGGGGGGGGGGGGGGGGGGGGGGGGGGGGGGAAAC